TATTATGCTATAACTTTGAGTTCAGTCCTAATCTAAATTTGTAATAGTTGGAAGTTGTTCTGAACAACTTGGCCAACCAAGTTGGTGCAAATAATCAATTCCAAATAATTTGCTATGAACAAGCCCGCTTGGCTTCGCGATATTAGTGCAAATTATATGAACTCAATCTCTTAATAACTGATGTTTCTCAGTTTTGGCCACGGAACAACAATTAATTAGAAACCCCTGATCTGATTTTTGATATTCAATCAAAGTCGCCTGCTTTTTCCAAAGGCAAGATAGTATAAAAAATTAAATTAAAAAACAAAGCCTCGTATGAATTCAGGAGTTTGGAAATTTTAATTTCAACATTACTGTGCAGTGACTGGCAAGCACAAAACTTACCAGCACAGTCAATTTATGCAATTCTCATTCATTTCCCCAGCAACTCCTTTAAGATAAATAATTAACATGATGGTTTTATAACCAAGGAGCAAAAGCATACAAAGCAAGCATGGAAAAGGTATTTCAAACTGAATCACTATAAATATCCAATTTAAGAAGTTGAAATTTGATTTATTAGCAAAGCTGAGGGTAGTAATGGAAAATTTAAATAACATGACACTCTGCCTTTGGCAAAATAATATTCTGAATAACCGGGAAGGTAAGGTTTTTACAGTTCTGATCCATCAAATTTGCTATTCTTCTTTTTGCACAGAGATGTCTTTCTAATTTTTACTGCGTTTTTCAGTCTTAATTCACAAAGAAACCATCATTTTTAAATATTATAGTTCATGTACTTCAGAGACAAAGTGAAAATGAGAAGGGAAAAATGAGAAAACAAAGGGAAAATGCAAATGTTATCTAAATTAATCCAGATGTGTGAAAATCCACCTGCCCGATATCAGTTGCTGAATTTGACATTAAAACTCTTGGCTCTTTAGATATTTTCTCCGAAGATTTTCTCCAGATTTCCTCGCAATGTTAGGGGAAACATATTACTGTACTGGGTTCTGATCAATATACAATATTGATGCCATTAGAGCATGACTCTTTTTCTGGCAACCCCTGATCCTCACCTGGTCATCAGGTGTCTGTTTTCATGGAGTACTGGTTTTGATTCTTTTAAAGCTGATTTATAGATTAAAATAAATATCCATCTAAAGAATTCTATTTCTTTGGCAATTAGTGGTCCTAATATATTTCATGTCCAAAGAATACATCTAAACAAATAGGGTTACAAGATTAAGTTTTGTACTCTGACAAGACTACAGTTTGTCTTTTTTATAGCTTAGAGTGATTATGATTTGTCCAAACAAGCTCATGTAAACTGTTTTTATGTTGGCTTGCTTAGTGTTATTCTAGTACAGTGGTTCTCAACCTGTGGGTCGGGACCCCATTTGGGGTCGAACGACCATTTCACGGGGGTCGCCAAACAACGCAGTCCGCCATTTTTTTCCTCCTTTTCCTTAGCTGTGCTACTCCCTTTTAGTCTATTGGCTTTTGAAAGCCAATAGAATAGACTCTCTTGAATAGAGTCTAATTCTATTGGCTTTCAAAAGCCAATAGGAATTGTCCAGGCTGTCTCTGCCCTGCTGAGCCTGCCAAAAGTCCCATTCTGCAAATGGTGCTGCACCAGTTGAGTAGTCCTTGACTTACGACCGGTTTGAGTAGTCCTCGACTTACGACTGGTTGGGGTCGTGGCATTAAAAAGGTTGAGAACCACCTTTAAAATAATGGGCACTTTATTAAACCACTGCCTCCATTCACCAATTATCATTAAAATAATGGGCACTTTATTAAACCACTGCCTCCATTCACCAATTATAATACCGAATATGTGGCTTAATAAATAGTTATTTAACATTACATTAGGTTTTTTTTCTTCCTAATGTTTTTCCTGCAAGTGTAGAACTTTTTTTATTTCTGGAACGGCCAAATAGTGATCCACTGATCATGACAGGAATTGATGGACTGGCTTATTGCCCAACCCAGACATAATGGATTGAGAGAAAGGGGCTTTCATGCCTAAGGCAGGACTAGAACCCACAATCTCCTGGTTTCTAGCGGGTGCCCTCACCACTAGACCAAACTGGCTCTCGTATTTTTAAAAAGAAATGCTATAGTAGATTTTCATTCATTTAGGGAAACTGAAAATGCTTTGATTCAAAACTTTCCAGAAATCACATTTCATTGGTAGAAAGACAGTTTGATGGGTATTGTCTATATTATTATGGTGGAATAACAATTCTCAACACTTTAAAATTGTATTTTTCAATGAAGAATATTTCCTTATTATTCTAGGAAAGGCTACTGCAAGGAATGAAATATGTAGAATTAAATTCCATTCATAGTAGAAAAATTAAACTATGAAATGAACAATTAAATTGATTTGACACTAGTATAAAAGTCCTAAGAATATATCATTTTAATATATAATTTAGAACCACAATGAGACAATTAGTATTACTCGCTCAGCTACTCAAATCCAAGTCTGACTGCTTTACTCAGGGCTAAAATAAAATGTGTAATAAGTACAAGAAATTGTATTTTTATTAGCTACTTCAATTAAACTGCAGTTGCATTATTATCTTGACAGCTAAACAAATGAAATATATTTTCCTTGACAAGAATAAACTATTATATGCATGTGATAGCTGGCATCTAATAAAAGTCTATTTATACAAGTTCTGCATTAATTATAAGAGATGCCATCCAATATGTTAGTGACACAAAATATTGGCACAGATTTCAAATTGTCCTGCCATTCACATAAAAGAGATAATTGTCTGTAATCCTTCATCTATTTGCAGCCTCTTCATATATTCCATGAATCCCTCAATTCTTAAGAGTTAATTTTTAGGGAGAAAAACCAAAGCCCCTTCCATGAACCTGAAATTATTATATTTTTAGAAGATCCAAGCCAAAGCAAATGTTATTGATAGGAAATATAATTTATAATTTTTACTAAGCAGCTCACACACATAGCCAGAATCTTCACCTTCATCCCAAACACAAGCATATTAGCAGACATACCTTCTATTTGACACAGCAAACTCCATCTCTTCCATGCTATGACATCACAAAACATAGGTGGGACTGCAGCAAAATTCTAGTGGAAAAGGCATGTAGTTTGACCAGCAGGAGAGAAAGTTTAAAATAGATTGTTCAATTACATACTAGTTCTCTGTAACTGAAGTCCTTCATTTGCCAAGAGAATCAAAGTGTCATTGCCAATAGCAGGATTTCAATATTCATTGTGCTTTTATCCATTTTTTTCAAAAAAGGTAAGATTTGTGATTTAATTTTTTATTCTAACTAAGAACTGTAATCTGAGCACAGTGAAGTTAAGACTGGTGATGCCCAACCTTTTTACATACCGGTAGTTTCCCTTGCATATTAGACTTAGACATATTAAAAAATGATATCATGATGAAGTGTAAGTGCACGTATCTGTGACAATATTTCAACAATTTAAAAAGGAAATGGTCATACAGCTTAGACCAGTGGTGGCAAACCTATGGCACAGGTGCCAGAGGCGGCACTCAGAGCCCTCTCTGTGGGCACGCACGCCATCGCCCCAGTCCTAGGCCTTCAGCTGGGTTTTATAAAACCTTTTCGCTTTAGGCCTCCGCTGCCATGTGCAAAAAAAAAAAAAAAAAAAAAAAAAAAAAGCTTCAATCAGTCAATTTTAACTTCTCACGGAAAAAAAGATCTTGCAAAGTTGGAATTGATTGAACTTTTTAGTCCCACCCAGTCTGCCGTTACCACCGCAGCCACGCCCAGCCAATGGGCCACACCCACTCAGCACTAGATGATGCATAAGTGGGTTTTGGATTGCAGTTTGGGCACTCAGTCTCTAAAAGGTTCGCCATCACTGTCTTAGACTACAAATAGGAAACTCATTATATTCCAGTAATATGAAACAGAACCAACACCAAGGTTGCATGAGACTCCCATATAAATACATCCCATTAATGTCAAGCTCACCAAGTTGAATCCACCTGTCCATCTACCCAAAAAAACAAAAACTGATGTTACCCAATATTTAACAAGTCACAAATCCAAATCGGTTTACTAGGCTATATATCACAAAGGCCTCCTTTAACGTCTCCAGTCATTTATGGGCCAAAAAGGAGAGAGATAATGAAAATCAATACAATACAGTCATCACATTACTCTTTTAAGAAATACAGTATCCTCCCAAAGAGGAAGGTTGCAGAGCGACATACGCAAGGCTTTAGTATGTGTCTTTAACTGTAAACCTACCAATGCCCTTTGGCTCCACCATTATCAAGATGTTAACTCACAAGGATAAATCCTAAGGCAAATAACTCTTTGCCCCCATTCTCCAGGTACCCAAGCACTCTTTTGCCCGCATACCCTCTAATCAGTCCTCCTTTTACCCATGCTTCCCCCCCCCCCCGTTATCCAACTTTTCCACTCTCTACCTTCTGTTCTCTTTCATCTGCTCAACTCCAAGGGCCTTCCCCCTGGGACAGGTGCTGCATCTCCCTTCACCACTATGTCCTTTCCAACCTCTTCAAGCCTCCTCCCAACCTGCTAGATCTGCTGCCCCAAAGGAAAACTAGTCCCTATCTCCATGAAACTCCCTTCTAGCTTTGCTTTTGAGATTCTCCAGGTCCAGCAAAGCTTTCCCCAGTTACCTCTGATCTCCTTCACTCCCTCCATGCCATCAAAGGGGACAGACCACCCCCCCCCCAAAGCAAAGCAACAAGGCCACCCTCCATGATCCTTTGGCAAAGACCCTTCCCATCATTCCTCTCTCAGCTCTGCAGGCTCTCTCATTGCCTGGGTCAACCTTGCTGGACCCCCCCCCGGCCCCCCAAGTCTCATAGCATCCTCTCCAGCCTCATCCATCTCCCACAGAGACCCTCCCCCCATTCCTGAGCCCCACAACCTCCCTTGACTCAACTGGACCCTCCAGCTTAACCTCAACCAGGCACCCTCCCCCCCACCCAGCTCACCTCCTGGCCCCGCCCCCGACCCCGCCCACTCACTCTGGCGCGCGGTCCTGGGCCCTCCTCCTTGGCCGCCGCCATTTTGGGGGGCCCGCCGCCAATGGGGAGGGGGAGGGGAGGTGGTCCTCTTCCTCGCTCCCAGGCCGAGGGGAAGGGGGGGTGCGGGCGCTGCCACCTCAGAGGGCGCTCCGGGAAGGTCCCTAGCCGCCTTCGGGAGGCGCGCGAGGCGGCGGGTGGGCTAGGGCACAGCGCCTCCTTCAGGAGCTCAAGGGCGCCCAGCCCTCCACGGGGGGAAGAAAAAGGAAAAGAAAAGAAACAGAAGCGAGGCAACCGAGCCCAAACTGAGGCGGCGGTCGGAGGGACCCTCCAGGCCCCGCGACCCTCTTAAAGCTGCAGAGACCTGCCCAAGCCGAGAGGGGCGGGGAGAAGGCTAGTGCGCACGCGCCCGGCGCAGGCGCACGGCCCCTCAGCCCATCGCCCTGCCCTTTTTTTTTCCGGCCTTCCCCGTCTCCTCCCCTTCGCGCCGGCGCAGTCGAGGCCTCATCCTGTGGAGGTTGGAGCACGTTAGGACTGGTCTTAGAATGGCGCCCTCTTAAAGGGCCATGCGCCCCTTTCTGGAGGAAGAGCCAAGCCAGAAAGTGGGTCAATGGCCAGCCAGTAGGAAGCTAAAATTAAGAAGTTCGAGGGGGGATTTAGAATAAGAGATGGATTTGGCTATAGTAGCCGTAGGAAGGGGCAAGGCTACCCCACCACTATAGAGCACCTTGGTGCTGGATGCTTCTTTGTACAGGTGGCTGCCATAGCATCTTTGGCCATAACTCTTTTCCACCACCCTTTTCGTTGGGTTGGCCAAGTCTTCCAAAGCCACTTTTTCCCCCATGCAGAAGAATACCGCTTCCAGCACACATGACCTTGCTGGTTGGTGCAGGATCCAGATTCCAGTTAAGTCCCTTAAAGCAAATAAATAGATATCCCTGGTGGATGCGTTAATAGCAAGGTCTCGTTGCTGAACAATGCAACAAGGTCTCATGGCTAAATGATGCAGAACCTACAAGAGGTTATGAAAAGTTAAAATGTGCTGCTAGCTGCTTTTGGAAGGCCGACGGGCGCAGGGGTCCAATATGTGGAGCCCTATTTAAATTTTTAGTAAGATTTGGTCATAGTGAGCTTCCCTCTTTTGAGTGAGCGAATATCCAGTTCTTTTAAAAAGTAGATGCTCCCAGCACCCTGACGGCCCAAATAGTATGGCTGGCTGATGAGAGCTAATTAGCTTGAAATAGCTATCCCAGTCCCCTTTTAACTCTTTATTAGCAATCCCCAAAAAATTAGCACATATATATATATACATATGTATGTACATATATGTATATGGATTCAAGTTTTTAAGATTATTAGAGATAATTATGGATGAGCAGCACTGCTATAAGCTAGACAGTGGGAGAACCTTGCAAAACGCCATCTAGCTAAATAAGTGGTTTTCTTTAACCACCGATTACCAACTCTGACGAGGTCAACAGAGGATGGACAAAAGCTAAGTTGTATTTATTAAAAAGTTTTTTCTATCCTGGAGTTTAGTGGCTCTATTGTATTTTAATATGTATGTGTATATACGTGCATACATATATCAGATTTAGAGACAGGAGACAGCTCCTCTCAGAGTGACTCTAGGCCAGTGGTGGTGAACCTATGGCACAGGTGCCAGAGGCGGCACTCAGAGCCCTCTCTGTGGGCACGCGTGCTGTCGCCCCAGTCCTAGGCCTTCAGCTGGGTTTTATAAAACCTTTTCGCTTTAGGCTTCCGCCGTGTGCAAAAAAAAAAAAAAAAAAAGGTTGAATCAATCAGTCAAATTTCAATTTCTCACGGGGAAAAAAAGATTTGCAAAGTTGGAATTGATTGATTGAACTTTTAGTCCCACCCAATCTGCTGTTACCACTGCAGCCATGCCCACCCAATGGGCCACACCCAGCCAATTGGCCACACCCACCTGGTACCCGCTGATGCATAAGTGGGTTTGGGTTGCAGTCTGGGCACTCGGTATCTAAAAGGTTCGCCATCACTGCTCTAGGCAACCTCTGTTTCATAAAACTCAACTCAGATCTCACCAAAATGAAAACTTCCACGGAGGTTCCTTTGTGAGTTTGTTACAGTTAAATCGTGAATAAAGACTGGCTCCTTATGATCTTAAAACATTAATTATAGTTAAAATGGGGCAGCATTCCACTTACAATTGCTAAATCTTAGTTTCTGATCTGATCTGAGTCTTGCAAACTTCCTAAACACCTACTTTATGACAAGGAAATTAGTTTTTCATTATTTTTTTAATAAAAATTAGGTTGATGATTTTTAAGTCAAATTCTTCAATAGGTATAACAATTATATAGTATAATTATATCTAAATTAATCAGATTAGTGGCAAAATGAAATGAAGTAGAATTAATCACATTTACTTTAAGGTTTCAAATTTACATTGGGATGTTTTTCGTAAGGCTAAATTTGAACCTAACATATTGGAGAAAAATTTTCTTTGAAAGTTTCTATCATAATAACTTACTAGAATCTGGCTGTTTGAATAGCCACTTCACTGATATTGAAGATTTCATAAATAGTAATTCTTTCTGCTATTTTCTCCTTCCTTTTTCTTCATTGTTAACATACTTTTTATTTTATTGGCTGAGTTTATACATTGCATTAAGCCATAATATTGATTGGTTTGTCTTAGCACAATGTATCTGGTCTTCCAATATGATCTGTAAACTTTGGTTTATGCCACAAACTTTATGGGCAACTTAGGCTCACATACTGTGATAAATCATAAAGTGATTTGTTTAGTTTAGCAGAGTGAATAATCTCTGATAGCGTTTTGAAAATTATAATCATCTATTGTGCAATTTTAGGAAAATGATTTATTCAACAAATCATAGCTATCCTGTTTATGGCTTAATGTGTGACTCTAGTCATAATATATTCAAAAGACAGTGTGTCTATACTTTATAATTTTATTTTTTTTAACATTATATTATAAATTAAAACAATGTTGATTCAACATCTGTACAAGATATAATTTATATCCAAATATTTGAAGCTAAAGATGATAGTGTACTTAATCACCCTAATATCCAGTAGAGAATATTGGTGTAAACTGTTTCATGCATTTGTTTTAAGAAAAAAAATAATTCATTAATTTTCATTTTCATTTATTTTAATGAATTAATTTAAAAATTAATTCATTCTTACAATGTTCTTTAAAAAAAAGTGGACAGATTAACAGAGGGGTACTCCCACATAATTAGCCCTAAGAGCTAATAGGTATGTTCAGAGGCACTCTCTTTTTGAATATTATTAGATAGGAACTGTTCAGTACTGAATATGGCAGTCCATATTTCCCTTCTACCTCCTCCATCTCTAGGTCCATTTCTCCTGCTTCACCCTCTGATTTCTGGTTTATTTGTTCATACTTTGTAGTTGTTGTCTGGGAGCTTTCCAGCTGTAGCTTCATTTTGGAGATTTGGTCCTTTATGTCATCTAGATTATTTTTAGTCTCATTATGGTTTCTTTTTGTGTGCAAGAATTTGCACAATCCAGTACTGAATAGATTTATATTGAAGAAGTTAATGTTAAATATGTGAACCCAGACAACATGTTGTTTACTAAGCTTCAAAGATTGTAATTTTTAAAAATTAATAAAACCTGTAAAAAAAGAGAAACTCACTCACTTAATGCTATCCTGATGATGGGTTATGAATGTGCACAAGCCACCCTTAAATAGCACACCAAAGATTTGGGGGCCCAGTCAGACCTGGCTGTCATACCCAGGTATCCATCCTTTTCTAAGCTAGCTAGTTATCTAAGTCAAATAAGGGCTTCTAAATGCAGAAAAGCCCAAATCCTGGACAGATTTAATGCCCTTCCAATAGCTGTTCTGGCAGGAAAATGACAAGTATCCCTTTTCAACAAAAACTTTGCACCTGTGGTAAAGGAATTCCTTTAAAATTTACCTGTGGTAAATAATACCCCATCTATTAAAATTTCCAGTCACTTGGATTAACTTTATTAAAGTGCCAGGATCCCACCAATGTGATCTATTTTTTTTTAAAATGTGGCTAAGTTTTGCTCCAATTGTAAAATACTTCACACCTTTATCCTACTTTTACAATTGCACGATTGGTTTAACTTCCTGTCTCCGCTGGTTTCCTTTTATTTTTGAGCTGTTCTATAGCTCTAATAAAGCATCTCATCTTGTCCCTTGAAAATACAGTAGATGGAGTTATTTTTCAAGATGGCAAATGTAAAAACATTTGGCCATTTCCTCTTCCCTGAAAAACTCTGAAAGATCTCCCCCAGTTAACTCTCCTGCCTACTTAATAAGACCCCCATCCAAAAACTTGTCATGATTTTGTACAAAATTCAGTTGCCCTGCAAGGAATTTCCCCCCCTTAATAATGGCAAATGGAGCTATCGTTGCTATGTATAAAATGAATGCAATGGACGTTTGAGCGATTGGGAGGAAGAAACTGTCCATTCTAGCAAGATGAAAATAAATAAAACATTTTTAAGAAACCAGGGAAGGTTGCATTCTTTCGAGAGGGAACCACACAGATATCCACACAGGGTGGCCAAAGAAATCTAGATAAGAGCCCAAATGGTGCAGTTGAGGCTCTGTCTGTTTTATAAGAATCACTGAGCTTTAATTCAATCATTGCAGCTACCATCTTGACTTTTTTGACCATCCTGTGTGGATATGCCTGGGAGTATGCTTGGTTTTGGAAAGATGGTAACAGCAGAATAGAGTAGAGTAGAGTAGAGTAGAATAGAATAGAATAGAATAGAATAGAATAGAATAGAATAGAATAGAATAGAATCTGGAAGGGACCTTGGAGATCTTCTAGTCCAGCCCCCTGCTCAAGCAGGAGAACCTATACCATTTCAGACAAGTGACTGTCTAGCCTCTTCTTAACAATCTCCAGTGATGGAGCACCCACAGTTTCTGAAGGCAAGCTGTTCCACTGGTTAATTGTCCTCACTGTCAGGAAGTTTCTCCTTAATTCCAGGTTGCTTCTCTCTTTGATCAGTTTCCAACCACTGTTTCTTGTCCTGCCCTCTGGTGCTTTGGAGAATAACGTGACCCCCTCTTCTTTATGGCAGCCCCTCAAATACTGTAATACTGCTATCATGTCTCCCCTATTTTTTCTTTTCTTTAGACTAGCCAAACCCAAATCCTGCAGCCCTTCTTTGTATGTTTTAGTCTCCAGGCCTTTGATCGTCTCAGTTGCTCTTCGATTGAATTCTTTTTCATTGGGAGTTGTGGGACCTTTGGAGATCACCAGCCCCACCCTAACAGTCTTGTGTTAAGAGCCCATTGAAGAAATAGCAGCCTGCATCTGCCTCCTTTCCTTCTGGAATTTCATAAAAGGTGCCATATTATGTCTGGTGCAAAGAAACCCCCCCCCCAAAAAAAACAAAAAAAA